AAGAGGGCGATCCCATTGATGGATGGAAAGTTGTTGAGCAAATCGACATAACTCTGAAACAATATTTAACAACTGCTTATATGCTGTGAAATATTACTTTTTCAACTTAAATTTAAATATCAGCATTAATTTTAAATTTAAATAAATTTAAATTGAATATTCGAAATTTAATATTATTTATGTGTTGTAATTTTTTAAAGCTTTTAAAACAAAATCTATGTACCTACATACATATGAAAACAAATGAAAGATTATATAAGACATTATTCATTGTTATATGTCTTAAGAGTTCAAACCCTTTATATAAGTGCAATCAGTGAAAGTGCTATTAAATGTAATAATATTATTTTTGCTTATTGCTTGCAATTATATCGTTAAAGAAATGCCTAAGTAGCTGAAAATAACTGGAAAACCTTGCGAATAATTTTCCTGCGAATTTTTTATCAAATTGACCAATGAGTCAAAAAAATTACGAAGGTCTTCGATTTTATTAAAACGCTTTCTCTACAATTTACGTAATGTCGAGTTTGCTAAAAACCATCTAAATAAAAAACTGTTAAGTTTCTCAATTATTATTAATAAAATAATAAAATTATAATCAATTATACTATTATTCAAAAATTTAGAAATATTAATATTTTAAATATTATAAAAATAACTATTTATATTTAATAAATATTTATTGATACGCACAATTTTGGATAAAGAAAAATTAATAAATAGAATGCTCAAAATTTGTTTAGAAATAATAAAAAATAAATATTATTTTATACAAAATATAAAATATTTGATTTTATTTTACACTCATCTCAAATTTTGTCATCGTTTTTTTATCTTTTATTTGACAAACTTTGATTATAATAAATAAGTTTAATATAACTTTATTTAAAATTTCTTATTGCTTTTAGACATGTATAATACTATTATAATTTTTTTTTTTTTTTTGGTAAGATAACAAGTAATTATATTTATCAAAAGTTTCTCTTTTTTTTCGAAAACTTAGGAAATAAACTCGTAACACTTCCGGTTTGTTTTTCTAGAAAATTAAACGAGAATTAAAAAGTAAAAGAAGTAACAATCATTACTGACTATCGTTTCCTTTCGTATAAAAAAGACATAGAATGTTATGCATGTAGATTTGTCATTTCCTATTTCTTCCATATTTATTTCATGGAATCCGATTTTTATTTCTTATTTTGATCAGTAATGAATGATAACAAGAAACTATTACAGACACCAAATATATGAAATACCAAACGAAATTTCTCTACTTACTTTCCAACAGTTGAAATATTAAAATGGAAAAACAAGTTTTAAAACATCCGATAGAGAATTCTTATAGTTCTTGATTGTTTTTATACAGGAAATAAAAGATATTTTCATGGAAAATTGTACCAAGGATATGAACATTTCATCCTTCAGTTTTTAAAAGCCACGAAGATTTCTCTTTTTTTTTTATTGTGTGTATTGTAACATATAATTACGTACCATTAAATAATTTAATAGTTACTAATAAATTAATTTAATATTTTACAGTTGATAGTTCAATAAATATTTTTCTCAAATAGACTATTTAATCTGTAGTTTTTATTAATTTCATGATGAATTTTTCTTTTAGTTATTAATGTTTATGTTCATACATTCAAAAATTCACATATTATTATTATTATAATAAATTTACCAAAATATCAAACATCAATAATATGTATTTCATATGTATTTATTATTTTATATTATATAAAATATCTCATAATCTATTTAATTCTTTTGAGATTTTTGTTTAATAATAAATGAAATATTATATAATTCTAATTTTTATAATATATAATTTTTAATTTTTAATGAGATTCTACATCATAATATTTATCAATTGTAATCACTACTGTACAAAATATTAGAAAAATTGCAAAATTTCTTATTTAATCTATTTACTCAAATAAAAAAATGGTGGAAATATTGTATCCAATAAATTAATTGTTCCCAAGCTATATTTTAATAATGAACGATTGTACACATTAATATCAATTTTAATCTATCAACATAAATTGGTGAATTTTTAAAAATTGAACGACTATACTATATACTCTATAATTATTCGAATATTGGAATATAATGTTGCTTTACAAAACTTACTTTGAAACATATTAACTTATTAATGTTTTTTTATCGTTTATAATAAAATATCTATATTTTTTTTTCATTATATTAAGACGATACTTGATAATACGATAAAATGATTACTATGTATACAGAATATACAGTCATAAAAAAATAAAAGAAGTTGTTTGATTATCATGGTGATTACAAACGGTATTATCAGATAGAAAAGTTTTAATCGACTCTTCCGTGAACTGATATAGATATATATATATAAATAAAATTATGAAATTAAAACAAAATTAAAAGATTGGCGTTTAATTTAATTAGAGATTAATTGGAGAAACGTCTAAATTATGATTACGTGTTTAACATCAATTATTTAAAAAAAATATTGTGAACTAAAATATTAAAAAATATTAGAGATATTTATAATTTAATAAATGTTAAAATTTATTATGTGATTAACTGAAAATAATAAAAAAAATTTAATGAATGTAAAATCAATTTTTTTTTAAATAAAATTTAATTCTGTTTCTTTAAGGAGATTTAAGCATTTTATAGGAATTAATTTAAGAAACATTAATCAAGTTATATTTAGAAATATTTAAAATTTGAAAAATGGAATAATATTTCAATTTAAACTTTAGTATACATAGTATATAGTATATAGTATACATAGTATATATAGTACATTTAGTATATATACAAAAAGTTGTTCGTATCTCTCGTTACTTAATTCATTTCCTATATTACGTTAAAGAGAAAGTACATAAAATTGTCGATGAATCGAACAATCGATCAATTAACTAAAGGTCGTAACGATGTATCAGTTACGATTAATTTAATGATATTTTATCTTCCTCAATAAATTTTGTTTGACCCTTGACTTTGAATCAACTTCCCATTTTCTCTTTATACACATGCAATTCTATATTAAATATAAGATAGATTTTAATAAAATATTTAAAAAATTTTGTTCATCTATAATTTAAACTAACTTTTTTATTTTGTCATATTTTTGCTATAATAACTTTTTAGTTAATTTGCATTTAATAAAAATAAAATCATTTATTTACTATGAATATTACATACAATTATTCATAATAACAAATGAATTTTATAATAGTTATATTGTATTACGTTAAAGTTAAAGTTATTAAAGTTATTAAAATTAAATATCTTTAAAGTATTTTATATAAAGATTAATTTTATTTTTTTATTATGTTTTTGTTATAACGACTTTCTTATGAATTCATATTAAATTAACATGATTAACTTCATTTATAAATTAGAGCATCTCATATATTAAAGATTAAAGATTAAAGATATATTAAAGATTAATACTTACAAGGATTAATTTGAAAGGTCCCTTGCGCCTAGGTATATTCTTTAATCCTAACAGATCCTTCAACTGTGACGTAAATACATGAACCGCTGCAGAAGTGATGAATCCACTCACCAAACTGTCCGCCAGAAGCGCTGCGATCACTCCCAATCGCAACAAATACATTATCAACTAAAAGTTTAAAAAAAATTCATCCAAAATAAATAATTATCGATTAGGTTTAAATTCAGGTTGATCAGCTGTATGGAAGATCGAAATGATTGTACCTGAATCAAGGCCACAGTGAAAGTAACCGCAGTGGCAACTTCCACCGAGGAATATTGACTACTTGTTGAGGTTAGTAACTCGTTTCCTATCGTGGAATTTTTGTTTACTTGACCTTGAGTGCTGTAAGTTGCTACCACTTTTCCTGTCATCATGCATATTAATGCGAAGGTACCTTGACATCAAAAGTGTAGTGATTGATTTTAATTAAATTTAACGATGATATAATATATAAAATTACAGAATCAATAAAACAGGAAATTAGAAAGAACATAAAAAGTTCAACAAGTCTGTGAATTGAATTGAAAAAATTTTTAATGTAAAAAAATTTTCTATATTAAAAGTTATAATAAGAAAAAGAAAATAAAAGATAGAAAATTAAGAGAAATTATTATTGCATTAGTTTTCCTATAAATTTAGGAAATATCAATAAAAATTTATAACATAGATATAATCATTATTTTCGCATCATCAATAATTATTGGTGTATACCGATATTTATGTCAACAGTTATTTTAGAAGAAAGAGATAATATTTATGTTAAATTATGCTAATTTTTTGTACTTAAGAAAATTATCTTCGAACAGACATATGTAATTAGTCATAAATTAAACAGAGTTCTAGTATGCGTTTCAACGAGATATGACTGGCTTTGTTAGTCAAACTTCCGTTATCTAGGCTAATAGACATGCATAACAATTCACGAAGCGGCATTATGACAATAAAAAATCAGTCGGATGCCATGCGGAATTGCGTGTCAATTTTTTTAAATCAACGTTGGAAAGTGAAGTTGAAATGAAAGTAGAAGGAACTGGATGCAAGGAAGCGTCATGAAATTACGAGAATCGCTCACTGTGAGAAAATTATTTCCGGCTATTAAATTGGAGACTTCAATTATTGATATCTAAAAAAGAAATATAAGAATCTTATTTGATTCGTAAATTTTCAAATTACATAATTAGCTATAAACTTCATCGAAATAGTAAATGTTGTAATAATTTGAAAATTGTTGAATATAAATAGTGTATTTTTTACAATTATTATAATGCAATTTAATATATAATGAGTCGTATGTGATACAACTGAACAAGAAATGATTTTTTCAAAAAAGTAAAAAAAAAAAAATTTCATTTTTTTTTTGAATAAATCAAATTTGAAAAATTTTAAAGTAAAGTGAAATAGATAAATTCTCAATTAGGTATATAAATAAATTATGGATAAGAGATAATTTTATAAATGAAAATAAACAAAAAATATGGAATAAATCTTTTTCATTTAAAATTTATAATATTTTCTTTCTTTTCTTTCTTTTTGAGCAATTATCCTATTGTCTAGTTTTAACATGAATAACATAGGATATCTTGTATATTAAAAAATTACTGAATATAAAAAATTGATACACAAAATAAACACTGTCATCGGCAAATGCTGTAATATCATGAAAAAAAATGGAGTTTTAAAGCTTGCGCATTATATAGTAAGTATTTACAATCATTTTTAACATTACTTTGAATCATTTGAATATACTTGCTTACCCATAGAATTGTGCCTTGAAGTGCCGAGGAAGAGATAAACAAGAACCGGAAAGAATGCCATATAAATACCAATGATCGGTGGGACGTTGCCCAATATTGCATACGCCATCCCTGTAATATAATTAAAATCTTTATAATACGAATTTTAATGTTTTAATTCTTTTGAGAATTAATTATTTATTTAAAATGAAGTGGAAATATTTAAAAAGCAGGTATACTATTTTAATTTCGTATATTAATAAAGATATTGATTGATTTATTTAAGATTTATTAAATTTAATAAAAAATATTTTAATTTTAATTTAATTTTATATCGATTAAAGAATATAGAATTAAAAACTTTTTAATCAAATATTTTATATAATCATAAGCATACATTTATATTTTTATTTCATGATGTGACAATTTCTGATAATATCATCATGTAATCATATTAATAATGGTACAAATTATGATATATGATTATGATATTATGATATGGTTTATCTATTATAGAAAATTATTCAAATATATTTGTTTTTTTAAGTTCTACAAGTACTTTTTTGTATATCATTCATGATTAGATTATGAAAATACTTTATGTAAATAATTTATTTTTAAAAACAAATGGAATCTACATAGATAAATATTATAATTAGTAAAGTTTACTTAAAATACTTTTATATAATTATATATATTTTTACATATTTAAGTGTTATATAAGTGCATAAACATTCGTGTTCTACTGATGAATCAAACCTTTTACAAACCTATTTACCTTGAGGAATATGCATCACCGCCACAGTAATTCCAGCAACAATATCACCTAATATATCGTTCTTCCAATTGTACGTTGACAACCAGTCAATAAGAGGTATAGTAGTCTTTAGAATTCTCATTGGCTTCATTTTCTTGCATCTAATCGAGATATTCTTCAAAACTGTAACATTGACGAGTTATAAATACGACTTAAAAGTTAAAATTTCATACAAAAATCCTATAAAAAATCTTTTCCCTGCTATTCAATGCTATCAATCATAAAAAATTCTACTATTATTTCTTTCTTTAATACAACATTTACATAACGAATCATTCACAGTTTTCATTCTTTTTTTCTAGACAAGACGCAAAGATTTTATTGTTTGGATAATATGGATAATTATGGATAATATATCTAATACAAACAAGTTATTATTATTGCGGTTTTGTTATTATTATATGTTAGATTTACTCAGTCGGAAATCACTATAATCAAAGCAATTATAGAATTTTTTTCTAGATAGTTTTTGTTTATATATAGAATGTCTCACTTCATTTTGGTATTTTGGTTTTTGTTAGTATTATTATTTATAACAAGGAATATTTCAGTTAAAACATTCTGGTGTTATTAATTCTATTGTGAGTGGATGTATAATGAAGATGAACTTTGTCTTTTTAAATGGAATTATATATTTATATTTTTTAATATATTCTCTATAAAAAAAAATATTAACTCATATATGTTTAAAAATTTCTAATTAACAAATATTTCAATTTGAATTGTAAAATTTATTGTATGAAAGATAAGAAAAATATAAAGAAGCGTGAAGAGTATTATTTTGAAACATTTTTCTTTGCAAGTAATAATATTGAAAAATTAAGACACTCTATATATATAACAAATTAAAATTTCTTATTTATAAAATTAATATAATAAATAATTCTTATTTATAAAATTTACAATTATAAATTTCTATAAAACTAAGAGAAATCTTTTTTTAAAATAATTTGAATAGAATTTAAAATTTATAAAAATAAAATACTTTTCTGTTACAGACAATTTGTTTATTAACATCAAAAAAATTCTTCATCATTATAGTAAATATTAAATATACTATTATTGAATAATATATAATAATATTAAATCGTATAATTTAATGTTTATATTAATGTTCTTTTAAACAAAATATATGTATAAGATATATATTGAACAAATATTTTTTTAAAAAAGAAAGTAAATTGTTTATTTCGATTTTTGATTATACATAATACTTACGTGCTTCATTCGGTTTGGCATATTTACACAAATGGTTAAGCTCGTCCTGTTGATAAACTGGTCTTCTCACCGTTATTTCAGGACTAATCGCCGACATATCGTCACTTTGATAGTCTGTAAAATATTTAAAGTTTATTCAAATTTTATTTACTTTGTTTTGAATTGAAGGCGGGAAATTTTTCGATACTTTGATTCGAAATATAGCGCGCGAAATTCGAAACTCGTTTAATGGAATGGAGAAACATTTAGAAAAATAACTCGTATCATTAAGTGTAACAAACGCTATTGAAATAAAGTAAAGAAGATTCACAACATAAATGTTTGTTGATTTTATATTTACTTAAAATTACGTAGATATCTGCAGCATGCGAATCGTGATGTGACTTTTCGTATTTTCTAACGAGATTTGAGAGTGAATAATTGGTAAATATTTATTTCGTAATATCTCGATTATTAGAATATACAAACTACATTTTTGTAAATAAAATTATATCAAAATAAAGATTTATTTATTTGAAAGATATTCTAAGATTTTACTGTCTTCAAATATTTTGTATATTAAATATAATACTATCTATTTCCATAATACTTGTAATAATTATATATTTATATTGTGGATTTTTCATAAATGCATAATAACAATTTAATGATCATATAGAATTGAAAGGAGATTGTTGCAGGTATATTATTAGCTCCAACCTGTTCATATATTATATCAAAAGTAATAAAAAAAATAATTTATTACAAAATTGTAATATTCTAATTAAAATCTTTAAACACAAAGTTTATATGCCAATTGAAAGATCTTAGTAAGTACATAAAGTTCTATGAATTCTAAATTCGTTCGAGAATTCTAAGTTTATTCGAGGTTAACAGAGTTCATTTCAAACTCCAAATAGTTAAGAATTAATCAAGGTTTAATAACTTAAAAGGTACGATATCCTATAAAATTTTAGTTGTGATAAATTTAAGGTTCCAAAAAATTCTTGTTTAAAGATTTAAAAAATTGTTATTAGTCTGAACAATTATTAATTCTCGTTAATTCATACTTTTCGATTAATTCTTATTAGTTAAATTACATTTTTGTAAATAAAATTATATCAAAATAAAGATTCAAAGAAATTCGAAATTCTTTGATTCTAATTTGAATTCCACAGTCGGTAATAATACTATAACACATCGATAAAATCCCATAAAGAATTATAAAGAACCTGTCATGATGGTGTCGAAGCGTAGTCCACTTGGCACCGGTTCACTTTGGATTCAAAGTCAAAGAGCGTTGTTACGCACGATCGAACGTCGCGACGAATTCTAGTGAAAAAAGCGCGGGTCGGCAGAAAATGGAAGCGCTGATGATAAGTCAGTGGCACTGTCTATCGCTTACTAACGTATCGGACGTGTAAGTAACGCACTCTTCGGCGCGTGTGCATTTTCCATTGGAATTCAGTCACGTGCCGGCTATCGGACTAAGAACTGTCCCTCGCGTATGTAGACACGTATATGAGCATACGAGTATCAAGTCCACGGATGATACACATTATTCGATCGTGACAGTACGATTTGGTAGCGATTAAGATGCTTAATTGGGCCAATGTAATAGCGGAGTCGCAATAAGCTTGTTAGAAAGTGAAATTGATGCCTCTGTCTTAGAACGAAACTAGGTTTGATGAGACGAAATTGCGTCATCGTGGGTTTTAATCCTTATGATCCTATTTATAGTGTATTCGCGCTGTTTCTCGCCATGTGGTCGATGTGAAGTCAAGTGTTAGGCGTCCAAATATAACGTGTAATGAATGAAAGAAAAAATAATTATGGATACTGGTTATAAATGAGATGATACGATAGAACGCCATAAAGTTTTGATCTGTATACAAGATGTCCGTACATTTAACTGATGGTACAACTGAGATAAATACAATTCTTGAATGTGTAAAAATAAGTTAAAAAAAAAAAAAGAAAAAAGAAAAGAACATTTTTTTATTTGAATTCCTTCGTTTTTAAATTCAAGTGTGAAAATAAAATTGATTAATTCCTGATTGACATACGAATGAACTATTCGATAGATCGTTGAAATTAAGAGGTTATAATATAAAATAACTATAAAATGAAACTTTTTTTTTTAAAAAATCAAATTATACAATTAAAAAGTCATATCAATCGAGAAATTTCCAAATTTAATTTTTTAGATAATTGATATTTAAAAATTTATTAAATGAAAAAAAAAATATATTTTTACTTATTTACTTATTTTCGTATATAAAATAATTTAATTTGATAATTTAATTTATCTACTATTTTATTGGGAAGAAGTTAATTTCACTTGCATTAAAAATTAAAAAATTTATTTTTTATTTGATTTATTCGAAAAGAAAATCTCAAATGAAAAAATTATATTCTTTTTTTCCTTTTTTAATTTATTTTTACAACAATAGAATAACTTTCAGCTGCATCATAGTTACATGTATAATAATGAAACTTTTAACAATAATTAAAATTTAAAAATCATAAAATGATTTGATAAAATTGTAAATGTATGTAGAATAATCTTTCATTTTTTTGCTGTCTATAAAAAGAAATTCTTGTACATATTTTAATGAAATTTATTTTTATTTATTTTGTAATTTTTAAAGAAATAAAAAAGATAAGTAATTATGTAATAATTATAATTATATGTATTAAAAATAAAATAAAATACTAAATTCATAATATAAGATATTTGAAATTTACTAATAAAAATTTTCTCTATAAGTTATCATAATTTCTGAAGATTATTTTTGAATATCAAATAAATAGTCAGATGATAAAATTTGATATGTGAGTTTTTTATTAAAATTTATATATATATCTTTTTTTTTGTATATGTAATATAATTAGATCTTAATTAATCAAAAAATACATATTTATTACATAGCAAAAAGTATTTTTTAAGAATATTATAATTTTTTGTACAGCTGAACAAATTTCATATATCAATTCATATATCAAATTTTGTCATTTTATTACAGAATTGATTGACATGATTTGAATGAAAAACTAATACACGTGTTATTTGTTTCAGAAAAGAAATAAATATTAAATATTGATGATTTTCAAAAAACACATGACATGATTAATTATTTGTAATGTCTTTTTTTTGAGAGATAAAGATATCCTAACAAATATTTATAATGAAATGATTAAATGAATGAATGAAAATGATTAAATCTTATTTGTAAATACGCAGTATTCACAATACACAATAAATAATTTTTTATAATCGAATCCATGATAATGTAAGAAGTAAGAATTTTATGAAATTATGAACAATACAGATCCCAGAATTTCGATTTAAAAATATTTCATAAATTAATTATATGAACGATTAAACTTTATCTTATCATCAACTATCTTAAAAATTCATTTTTCATATTAAAGATTGCGATAAAAAGTTAAATAATTCTTCATTTCTTCATATCATATCATTAGGATATCATTTTTCATTACATTGAAGAATCATAACAATGTGTAAATGACATACAAATTATTTTAACGAATTCATATATTTATATTTAAGAAAATAATAGTTTTCTATATTTTTATACTCTCTAATTTTAATATCATGTGATTTTAAAGTTTAATCAATAAGTTGAAATAACTTTTTATACGTATAAATACTTTTATATTATAAATTCAAAATAACACGAAATTATAGCACAGTTTCATTTTCTATTTGATTGAATTTGCATTATACATTACATTATAATTTTCAGCCGTCATTTATAAAAGAAATTGATTTAACATTAAAATTACTCGTCAAAAATAACGTGTTTTCAAATTTTTCTGAAATTATGAGCACATGTGAACATTCTCATTTGAACTCAATATTAAAATTCTTCTTTCAAAAAAAAAAAAAAAAAACCGTAATTTATAAGATGAGTTAATCGTTACATCACGTAATCTTTATCACGATCACGAATTGTCGATCGCCACGTTCCAAAGTGTGTCGAAGCATGACGATGTAAAGATCCGAAACGAAACGAGGTGAAACTTTCAAACAAAACGAGACATCGCTTATCAACGTCGAGACGATATAAAACGGATGCTTACCGACGCTTTAAGCTTCTTATTCTCTCTCCTTAATCCACGTATTTTTCCACTTATCGATTACGAAAATGAGCTTGAACTCTTTAAAACGAAACGAGTCAACCTCTTTCATCAATCTTTCGTTCCTCCAATCCCAAAAGTCATCGATAAAAATTGAAAAAAGCATATATAAAATTACAATTTTAATCAATTTCACCGACGATTTCGATTTTTCTTTTTCTCTTCAAGTATTAAAGGATTGAAAGAATTGATTTAAGAACGAAATGAAATATTACAGCCGCGTGTTAGGAAGGATGGAACACCGTACGATCGATGTGTCGCCGTTAACTGAACTAAAATCGCGTTCTTGAGGGAGCAAGCATCAACAACATTTCACTTCTGCTCGAGCACTGATTTCCTCGAATACCACGTTTCTGTTTAATTTCGTTACGATTCGTTGGCGAGGACACGCAGTTAGTAAAGCCGAGGTGACATGGCGTTAAACAAAAGGAAGAATTTGGCGAGGAAACCAAACGTTCTCTGTTGACGTTGTCGAGTCTCGACACGATTTATGGAACCTTTTCTTATCTCATCTTTTTCTTCTTGATTTCACAATGGTTGGTTAAAGGAACGAGAAAGAACATGACATTCTTATGACATTCTTACGAGTATAAAGTATTTGTGATGATTCTTTTCTCTGAAATAGTTGGAAAATTTATTTTTAAGTGAATATTTGAGAGATTTTGTGTATTGATTTTTTTGTGATTGAAATCTGTAACAATATATTGTAACAGATAATGAATTTTACAAGTTTCCAAACAAATTGTGCGAAATTTAAAATTTTTCAAATAGTTATACAAAGCATAAAATGACAAATTGATTAAATTCGTATCGGAAGAATAATATGAAAAAATTTATTTGCATTGTAATACGATCGTAAAATGTAAATAGAAAACGATGAATTAATTTGAAAAATGTTTAATTTTTATATACAATATTTTTTTTATTTCTTTACTAGTACGTAAATAATATGTAAAATATTAATATTAATAACGTATAAGATCATATAATATCCATATATTATAATACTTATATTGATATCGATGTATTTTATATATACTTTAGTCAACATTGATATCACTGTGGGATTCTTTAATCTCAGATTTTAATATCTTGTATTGTATGAAATTTAATTTGCTTGAAAAAGTTATCTGTCTTGTTTGATACAATCATATATTTCTCTACTGTAACATCTATCATCAATTTGATGACATGATATTTTAATTTAAACAATATATCAGGTTTAAACTTGATTATAATAAATATAATTAATTAATTATAATTAATATCTATAATTATAATTATAATTAATATAATTAATATAATTAATAAATAAATATTATTATTCGAGTAAAATTATTCAAAATAAAATAATAATTCATATATAACTATCTATTCATATAGATAAATTTTGTATTTTAATATTAACGATGACGATATAAAATTATTTCGTTCGTAATCGATATCCTCTCTTTCGAATACAAAGAAAAACGTTAGCCACGTGAAAATGTTACTCAATACATCAAGTCTGTTTCACAAGGGAAGAAATGGCGTGATCGAAACGAGTTTTACTATCATAATTTTTTTGCCAATGTGTATGTGACTGTATAATGATGCGATACTAGTTTTTCACAAACATATTTCGTTTCGTAGATCGAACGAACCTAAGTACTTGTTTGCTAAATAATTACCGATAAGATATTTATAAAATTCCTTCGAGGTTTTTTGTTTTCATATTAAACGTATATATGTATAATTATTTACAAAAGTTTCGTAGAGAGAGAGAGAGAGAGAGAGAGAGAGAGAGAGAGAGAGAGGAAAAATTGAAAATATAAAATACCAATTTTTATAAAACTAAAAGTTTTATAAGACATTGGGAAAATTATTAATATTAATGAATCACAAAGATAAGAAAAATTTGCCAAGAAGATTTGACAAAATTAAACTATGTGATAATATTATATAAGAGATTGTGAAGGAAGATTATATTTTATCTCTTAATTTGAAACGTGTCATTTGAATTTGAATTATTTAGGTAATTTAAGTCGCACTTTTTTTCCATTGCAAGTGTTAATGATATAATTTCAAATAAGATAATGCTAATTGTTTCATATGTTACATAATATTATCTTATCTGTTTAAATATTTCTCTAATATATCTTATCGTTAAGAATAGTTCTTATTATTTCGTATATTAATAAATAAATAAATAAATATACACATGTATAATGTTCTGGTTTATTTTAAAACTTTTGTATAAAATATTCGAAAGTGATTAACATTTATAATTGAGATTTATAAATATTTATAATTGAATGGTAATATATATTGAATGGTAACATTTATTGTTATTAAGCATATTATTAGTCATAAAACATTGTTTCTGGGGTTTTGTTTGCACTTGTATCTATAGATAATATATGTAGATAAGGATTCACGGAATTTATCAACAAAATCTGTCGATAGATCTTTGTACACGATAAAAAAATATTGTTTCAAGGACGTTAAATAAATATAATAATGGAAAAATAAGAAAATATGATCAAAAATCAAATTAAATGCGAAGATATGAACAAAAATTAATCAACAACATCCAGAAGAATATTTTAATATTTTGATGATAAAATATAGGAAGATTGAAATAATATACGGTCGATAAATAAGGAAACATCTTATTCCTCCCCCCCCCCTCCCCCTCTCAATTTTATTAAGTATCAAAATATAAAACTAGACATTAGAAAAGATCTATAAAATTCGTAGGCTTTTTCACGCAAGAAGTGATCAATGGGAATAACTTGTAAAGCAATTTCTCCACGTATTCAGTCTTTTTGTCGATCAATCGTTTATGCATCGTGGAGATGGTATTAATATTCAATTGAAAACCTTCCCTCTCAGATTTTATCCACTTGACGTCGAAAGAAAAATTTTTTGGAGTAGGATTCCTAAAAAAAAAAAAAAAGTAAATAAAAAGAATCATCGTTTTATTAGGGAGAAGGATGATAATATGATTTTCCAATTTTATATTTCTTCTTAAAATCTAATAAATCTGATTTAAATTGCTCCAATTATCTTTTTCGTGTTATTAAATATTCTTTTCATAAATCAATACGTTATATCATTCTCTCGTCCATATATTTTATTTCCTTATCCTTGTCCTTTTCTTTTATTTACCCATATTTAGCAAAGTTAGCCCACAAAGCAACCATCTTCTTCCTAAATCGATTGAAACTGTTCTTAGGATTGGACGGCGTGCGAGGTAATTTTGAATTGAATATGTATCCAACGTCGTCAAAATGTGCAGTTCCTGAAAGAAGTTTTTTTTTTTTTTTTTTAAATAAATAAAGAAAAGAAAAAGGAAGAAATCGTCGAGAAATCCTTCTTCAACAATACCGTTCAATGGATTGTCCTTGAATTTGTGCAAAGCATACTTTGATTGATACGACAACCTATAATAATAAATAGGATGGCCCTTATTGTGCTTTGCTAATAATCTTTGAGTCAAATCGATAGGGCCGCTGAAAAATATATCCATCCCTATCTGTGTGAATCCAGAAAACAATCCAAAAATCTGAAGAGAATTATTAACTTGAGCAAACAAAGAGATACAAATTGTTTACCTTCTTGACCTGCTTGAAACTAGCTTTAACGAGATCGTTTACAACCCGCGCGAGCAGCGCTTTCGGCTCTTCACCGATATCTCTGTTTTCTTTAGCAGCGTTTTGTAGATATTTTTTCGCCCAATTGATCGTGTTTGCCACCCCGATCGGAGCTGGAAATTTTTGTTTAAATAAATTTTTCATCTTTATCTAAATAATTATTCATTAATATAATAATTATAATTATAATAATAATAATTATAAATAATCATTATATTAAGTTTAATCAATAATAAATCTTGGATACTTACGACCGAAAAAGAAGAAAACTTCGTCGTGAGTGTAACCGAGCATTATATCGTGACGATAAAAATCCCCGTTGTGATATTTCGTTATTGGACATTCTGTTATCACCGTGCTATTGCTAGGATCGATGTCGGGATCTTCTATAGTAGGTCGAAATGGAAGCAAGTTCTGGAAGAATACGAAAAAATAATTTAAAATTGGAAAGCATACAAGACACGAGGAAGAATATATATTTTCGCGAATTTTCGAACTTTTTTTAATTAATTACCATTATTATAATGGAATTAATTACCATTTCAACTTTAGTCGATGCGCGTATGAGTTCCATCAGAGGTACTTGGCGAAGATAATTCACCAAATCGTCGTGATCCTTGGGGACGTAATCGAGAACGGTTGCAAGTTGATGAGCATTCCGAATCATCTCTTCGGGTGAGTGATACGCCCAAGGACACAATGGGCTGCCGCTCATGCTGATCGATCGAAGAAACAATCCTGGGAAAGAAAATGTAATTAAGAAGATTTGTGAAATGTTTCTTATTTAATTCTCTGAATGAAAATTTTGATAAGAAAAGAATTTTAAAGTCAATTTTTATTTTTATTATATGTTTATATATTTTTATATTTTTAAATATAGAAAGTATCTGTAAAATTGCACAAAGTGTCAAGTTTTTATTCATTATAAAAGAGGAATTGAACGATTGAAAATTTTATAGATTTATAGATTTATTTTTGCTTTATTAAAAGATAACCTTTCCTTCCTAATTTATCTTATGCTATACAGAGAATTGATATATTTTGGAAGTTCTCAACTGACATTTTTATTTCTTCCAGAGATGTGTTCATGTATCAATAATTACGAAATTTATAGTTTGGATCAGAAATGATCTTTATAATAATTGACAATATCACAGATAATTTGTTAGATTTCTTTATAACTGATGAATACAAAAATGTATTCCAATATTAAATATATAATAATCGATATATTTTCACAAAAATTAAAATTAGATTTGTGATAATAATTTTCTTAAACGTGTCTTAAAAGAGTAATAATATAAGAACATAATAGATTTCTCTAATCTTTTTCAATAACAAAATTAAAAAAAAAGAAAAAATTTCAGTTTATACCTTTGGACCGTTCTGACAATATGTGGAAACCAATGGAACTACTACCAGCACTTTCCCCAAAGATTGTTACTTGATTTGGATCGCCTCCAAACGCAGCTATGTTATTTTGCACCCACTGGAAGACTAACCGTTGGTCTTTCAAGCCAGCATTGCCAGTTGCATTAGGATGTTTCAATGCCAGGAATCCTGATGAATTAAAGTAGAATTAAAGATCTAAAATATTTGAAGGATAAGAGATTGATCAAGATTTCTGAAATAATAGTAAATAAAAAAAATATACCTAGTGCGCCAAGTCGATAATTGAAACTGACTAAAACGACATCTTCCTCCAGAAAGAAATCAGGACCGTACAAGGACGAATTGCTGTATCCTGAGAAATAACCACCACCGTGTATCCAAACCATGACCGGCCTCAAATTTATCCGTTTCTTGAATTCCACCTGTTACATATTCATATGCACTTTAAATCATCTGATTCGCGCGAAATTTTCGAATATTGGATTCGAGACAATTTATATAGATGCTCCAATTTTTAATATTCAGAAATAAAGATATTGACTTCATTTTTTCCCTAATTAGAAAAAGATTCTATTTATTAAATTCCTTTCCTTTCTCTATGTAAAATGATTCATCATATTGAAATTATTTTGACGATTCACAGATAATTTGTTAGATTTCTTTATAACTGATGAATACAAAAATGTATTCCAATATTAAATATATAATAATCGAATATATTTTCACAAAAATTAAAATTAGATTTGTGATAATAATTTTCTTAAACGTGTCAAAAGTGTAATAATATAAGAACATAATAGATTTCTCTAATCTTTTTTCAATAACAAAATTAAAAAAAAAGAAAAAAGAATTGTTTGTCAAATTATTATTTGATTAACTTACCTCGCGAGTAAAAACGTTCAAGAACAAGCAATCCTCGCTTCCCATGTAGAGAAGCGATAAATAGTCCCATTGAGCGCATACGCTGCCCTCTTCGTAGGCGTGTAACACTTTTTTCCAAGGATCTATCGGAACTGGAGGCTGCAAACCGTCAAAGCAACAAAAAAAAATCAAAATAGAAATAACGAAGAAATTATATACATATAAATATATATCCCAATTTTCAGTTTCAATTTCTTTATATTTTCGTTAAATAGATATACAAAGGAATATCGAGTTATCAAATTTCCTTATGTGGTGTGTTTCCTTTAATTAATTGTATCAATCGATTATTCTCCATAAATCAATGAACACTTATTAATTTGCAGATACATTTATATTTATACATACATTTATATTTATACATATATTACATATATATATATATATATTTTAAAACGTTCAACAGGATTGTTTTAACCAAAATAATGGATAGAATGTTCCATTGAATTTCACCTTGAATCTCAGGTCACCGAGGGGTGGTTTGGCATAAGGGATTCCCTTGAACGAGGAGTACTTCATCGAGTGCCACACAGTGCGCAATATCAGGCCTCGAACAGGTCCGTTCGATGTGTAAACGATGGGCGTCCTAGGAGAACTCACGATCACTTGCGGGAACGTTGAGATTAGAAGCACGAGGGTAAACCAACTCGCATCGTTCATTCTGATCTCTCTAAAAGTTATGTCAAGTCGGGAGAGACGGCGGTGCGTTCACTGGTCTTTTATCTTTTTGAAACGATGCGCCTTCGTTTGAACTGAATATCGATCGACTTAATCAGCATTGTAATTTTGCACGGTATGCGGAATTTTATTTGATTTTTACGCGTTATGCCATTTACGATTTATATTGTATAATGATATTTCGAATTTCACTTGACACAGATTTCCAGAATGTCGATTACAAAAATTCGATAAATTAATAGGCAGGAAAGGAGATGCTTTAATCTAATTAGATATAAGTATTTTTAATTATATATAATATACGAGGTTATATAAAAATTATTTATTTTTAAATTTAAATAATTCAAGTATTTATTATATCGTAGGATAGGAAGTTTAATTTCTTTATATTTTCGTTATTGTAGATAGAAAGGAATATCGTGTTATCAAATTTCCTTAATGTAAGCTTTTAATTATCAATCATTATTCTCATATAAATTAATGAACACTTACTAATTTGCAGATATATTTATATTTACATATATTACATGTTTACATTCCAATAATAAGAAACATGGATCAGAAAGTAAAATCTTGATAGAAATTTTAGAAAAGACTGAAATAATTCGCATAAGTAATATCGTTGCAATCGCTCGTTATAGGCATGGAGAAATACAGATATTTCTCCGTAAATAGCGCCCTTTCGTTGATCGCCTGTGTACGATTTATCATTTGGAAATTGTCACCCATGTCCAATAATTGTCCAGCTTTTCCAGACTGTTTCCAGATTACGTCGTTTAATGGGTTTGCGTTATCAGGAGTTGGATTCCTATGAATATTAATGGAATATAATAACATGTAAAAATTTAATTAAAATATATCTATGCTTTTAATTTCTTAGTTTATGATATAATATATAAAATATAGTGATTCATGTATATTACAATTGCATTATATCTTATTGATAATTTTTTTCATACATATATATTAAAAGATGATTTATGAAAAATAAAGATCAATAAAGTGTTATGTTTGTATATACATAGTACTAATATATTCATGAAAAATATTTTGAAAGGTTTTGATTCTAGAGATCAAAATAGATATAAAGTTGGTATATAGAAAGGTTGATAAAATTTATTTATTAAATTATTAGTTAATTGAAGTTCCACTCCAGCTTTGTTTAATTTAAGCAAAATTCATTGCTTGTAACTTAATAAATAAATCTCAATATGTATATTGATATATTTTTATGTATCAATCTATATGTAAATAGTGCATGTAGTAGAATCTATATTTATCAATTTTATGTTTGTTTTTCCAGAAATATATTAACATCCTTGTACACAATCAAATTTTTACAATTTGAAAATTTTTATTTTTATTTATTTTGTTTATTTTTTTTTTTTTATGAATTTTATTTACTTCTTTTTGAAAGTGTCTAAAAGTTAATGCATTGTTTTACTTCTGCAATTTGAATTGATTTTTACAATCTGTTGATAATAAATCAAAATTTATGTTGTTACTTGTAACATAATTCATAGAATTAAAACTAATTAAATAACGAATCAATATCCGATTATTCGATTATCTCCTATCTTTTTAATTATTAAAATATAAAAAATGACAGTTAGGATTCTTTAGTTACAAAAATATTAACCCTTGTGTCAACTTTTCTTAAATATTTGTCATTCGATAATTCCATAACTAAAGAATCTTATTTTATCCTCGAAATTCAAGACTCAAGTATAAAAGAATTAGAACAATTATGATGAAAAATGATGGCATACCCGTATTTCGCAAAATTTGCCCACAAAGTGACCAATTTTCGTCGGAACTGATTGAAAGGATGCTGAGGATTAGTAGGAGCATTCAAGCTTTCCACGTTGAAAAGTAATCCAATGTCATCAAAGTGAGCGATACCTGAATTAAATTATTAAATATCAATTATTAATATATGTTCATTATTATTATTTTTTTAAATACCTACCCGGTTCAGGTATACCGTCCTGTGTATGCAACGCATAATTGGACACGTATGACAATTGATAATAATAAACAGGATAATTGTCGTTACCATGAACGAGCAATCTCTGAGCAAAATCGATTGGTCCCTTCATAATGAAGTCCGATAACACCTAACAAATATTTTAAAGATGTCAACGTATAAAAGCAGTCATATTTTTTCATGAAATAGAAATTTTTTTTGTAGAGAAATTGAAAATTTTGTACATAGAAGAAAAATTAATAGATACAAGATACATAGATATTTGTTTAAAGATTAATTTGAAGTAGATTTTGTAAATTATATTATAAGATTTCGTTGTTTTCTTAATTGATAAATATATATATATTTTATCATTCAGCAAATTCAATCGATGGTAAAAATAAACAAGTTTAATTATTTTATATATTTTATTATTATATATTTTATTATATATAATATTTATATATATTATATATTTTATATAATTATTATAAGTTTAATTTATTCGATTTTCGAATAAGTTTTCGTTTGAAATATATTACTATTTCGAAATTTTTTTGTAATAATGAAATTTTCAGGATTAATGAAAATTATTATATCTATTATTTCCTTTGATTCAAAATAATCGATATATAGTTTAAGAATGCGTAACGTGATAAATAATAAAAACATTACCACTGACAATTCCTTAACTGCTTCGTAAGGTCCTACAAGATCCAGCTTCAAATTAAATATCTCCTTCAAAGCGTCCGCCGTGTCGTTTATAATTTGATACAAGTCTGTAAAAAAAAGATTATAAATCTTAAAGAATAATTACCAAAGCGAATTAAGACTAAATATTTTCATATTCAAAAAAAAAAAAAAAAATTAATTTCTACAATCTGTCTTAATAAATCAAAAATTATGCTTTTTAAAAAAAAAAAATGTTCGTACCCTCCGAGAAATCTAACAGTTCGTCGTGGGTGAAGCCCAGCATCACTGGCATCTTATTGAATTTTTGAGACGCGGCTAAGGTTATTGGACATTCGGACAGGAACATGTCCTTTGGATCAACGAGATCGGGATTCTCCTTTATCGGCGCGAAGGGTACCGAGAACTGGTGGCACAAAATTGAAAAATAAAGTGAAAATTTCATCTCGTGTCGATGATATTAAATATTAGAATTTTATTTATTTATTTATTTATTTCTAATAAATGTTAAAAATATCATGTGAATTCCTACGTCGCTGCCAAACGGGAAGGCACGATTGGTCGTTGCCACGAGATCCTTCGCGTCCGCCTCAAGGAAGAACTTCAACAATTCGTTTGGATTGTTAGAGTGGAAGCCAAGCTCGCTGGCTAATTTATTAGCAGTTTGAAACGCTGCTTCTTGCGTCTTGTATAGATACGAAGCAGCTGTTCCGCTTTGCTCGATAGCATGATGGAACAGACCTGTTGACCAGAATCACAAACTAAAAGAACTAAAAATATAAGATATATAAATATGAAATATAAGATAAGATGAGGTTATAGATTTTTATGCATTTATGGAAAATTTAAATGTGGAAGGAGATAGAAGATGTTCAAAGCGAGATCATCTTTCAAATCCTCAAGTCTTTTTTACTCTTTTTTATCTTTATCAATATTTGTCATATCATTGTGTATTATATTAAAGAATTTTTATCTCGTTCATTATAAAGTGTTTGATAAAAATATTATTATTTTAAGCAATTTTTAAATTTTTTATTTATTAATAAATTACTTATTCTTGAATTTATTTATTTTCTTTGATATCTAATATATTTTAATATATTGAAATTATTTTAACACTATTGTTAATACATTTTATAATCCGATTTGAATTTGTTTCGATGTATTAATACATGCATCAAATCCACGTAAAAAAAAATTTTCTCGAATTGAACGATCAAACATTTCAAAATTTAATAAGTATTACAATTTTTCTTGACTCCACGTTACAAAAGAATTGAAAATTTGCTTCGAGCAGGATATCGAAAACAAGGAAAGATAAGCAAACGTTTTTTATTGATTACAACGATATCATACCACGAGATTTCTCAGACAGAACGTGATAGTTCACGCTTGCGCTGCCAGCGCTTTGTCCAAAAAGCGTCACTTGATTTGGATCGCCTCCAAATGCAGCGATATTGTCACGGACCCATTCCAAAACCATCAGCTGATCCCTCATTGCGGCATTGCCAGCTGCGTTTTCGTGTTTCAGATATAAAAATCCTGTTAAAAAGGATTGCAAAGGATTAATTTGAAGGATGGCGAACGAAATATCACGATTAAAAGAATGAAGTGCAGTGTACCCAAAGCACCGAGGCGATAATTGAAGGTAACCAAAACTACATCTTGTTCCATGAAAAAGTCAGGCCCGTAGACAGATGCGTTATTGGATCCACGAAGGAATGAGCCACCATAAATCCAAACCATAACTGGTTTCAGAGTTAATTTCTCGTCGAATTTTGTCTGTGGTATATAGGAAATGAAAGATTGCTAAATAACGATAAATTTTCATATTGAACGTTAATACAGACTTTACATCAAGATTTTGTTAATTGTTAATTTTTTATTGAATTTGAACTTCAAAATTTATAACATATATAAATTACATATTACATATTGAAAAATATTATATTGACTTTTCTTCATTTTGAATAGATAAAAAGAATAATTAAGAATTTTTTTAAAATTGCTAAGAAAATTATGTACATCGAAATAAAGTATTGATAAAATTTGTTGTGATTCATTATAAAGTATTATTTATCACAAAATTTAATTCCAAAGAAACGTGGAACAAAAAATAATTATATTTTTGAATCACCCTTTCTAATATAGGAATTATTTTATACAACAATACTTACTTAATAAAAATAGATTAATATTTTTCCATTGCAGTTATCGTCCCTGTCCATTATTAACATATTGTATTATGATTTTATATGTATCCACAATTTTATTTTATTTTATTTGCAATTTCATTTATACGTTACATTCGCTATTTCTCAATTTTCATAGAAGAAAATGAGAAAATTTTTATTGTTAATTAAAAAATTAATTGAAAGTTTTTATAAAATGTTACCTGAGGAGTAAACACGCTTAAATACAAACAATCTTCATTTCCACTATAAACATTCGATATTTCTTGAGGACATTCATTGGCCTCTTCAATGGCGTCCAGAGTTTCGTTCCATGATTCTGGTGGAACAGGAGGCTGTAATAAGAATTAAAAGATTGAATTAAACGATGCTGTAGCATAACATATTTAATTTGATTGAAAAATTTTTTATAAAATATATACCAAAAATTTAATATATGTAATGCAGATAACGTAAATAATTGATAATAATTTATTAAATGTTATTATTATATATTTGCACATATATTTATTTTTGAATTAATTTTTATAAGTTTCATTTTCATCGATATGGAATTTTTATAATCACAAAAAAGTAAATTTATATTACTAAATGAAAAATATAATATATTTGGAATATACATACATTTAATTAATCGATATGTAAATAATAATATACACATATTTTTTTATCACCACTGTGATTATAATTATAATTTTTACCCTGAATCTACGATTTCCAATTGGTGGAGCGGCATAAGGGATGCCTTTGAACGATGAATATTCGATGCCATTCCACACAGTAGTCAATGTGGCGCCTTGAACAGGTCCTGAGTTTGTCTGAACCAGCGATGTTCGTTGAATATCGGCGTTATTCAACGTCAACAACGAGAAGAAAATCGACAAAGTTATTCCGTTCATTTTAACGATGTCGCTGGAACGTTTCGTTTCTATCTAGTTTTATTTTATAGTCGTTAATGACGTTATGGAATTAATGGTACATAAAGTTAAGTAATTTCAAAAGTAATTAGAGAATATTAATACCGTGTCTCATGCTATCAAGGATATGTATATAAATAAATTGTTATTAAATGACTATTAATATTCTGTTTATGACAGATGGTATATCTCTGTGTATATATTATAATACTTGTAGAAAAATACATTGAAGATTAACAAATGTGATACATTTTTAATTTAATTTTATTGTCCATTGAGTTATTAATTATAATTGTTGCATTATGTAATTATGTACATTTGTGTTATTAGTATTATACAATAGCATTTAATAATACAACATCGTTTATCTGAATTTTATTTATTAGAACGAAACGCCAGTGTCTAATTAAACGAACTAGATACCATTGTTGGTCGAATCTTTTGTATTTAAAATCTTAGATTGTTATTGCTCGTGAATTAATTATTATTTCTCATAATTTGTGTATACATTGCGCAGAAAATATATAATTAAATTTGTAATTCAATTTATTACAAAAGAAGAAGTTGAAAAATAGAAACAGATGTTAAATTTTAATCATCTATAATTTGATTAAATACAATTCTTTTGTAATATGTAATTAGACGTACAACTGTACAATATATAGTGAATATTTGGTATTTAATAATTACATAATACATATTTTACTAAAGAAAAATTAATACTATGTTATAATGAAAAATTTATCAAAGAATAAGAGATTGATAAGTGATTTTAAATCTAATTAACTCTCCAATCTTTTATCATAGAACACAAATAAAATTTTCTTTCTAAAAAATATACTTAATACAACTTTATAGATATTTATGTCTATAATAAAATGAGAAAATAAAAAAAGATATTTTATCATTATTTTAAATTTCCAAATCAATAATAACTTTTTATATATTCAATGATCTTTCTAATATAACACACTATATCTATTAAACAATATATACAGTGTAGAATATCATTGATTCTAAGAGCCAAAATAAACATAAAAGTTAATATACAAAAAATATTGATTGAAATTTATTTATTAAGTTATAAACAATTTTAATTTCTTAGATAACGTGAGACAAATACTCTATTATTATTTCATTTCGTTTAAAACAAATTTAAACCGTTTAATAACATAATAAGTAAGCCTTAATATTTATTTTGGCTTATATAATCGACTTTCCAAAGATATTCTATGAATTTAATTTAACACTCTGTGTAACGATAAAACGTGTAATAATTTAATCTTGGAATATATGGATTTTTTTATAAAATGAAATTTTTGAAGCAAAGAAACGCTTAAAAATGAAACTTCAAAGAAACGGTTCACATTCTCTGGATACTTGAAACGTTGCTAGCTTCTGCTGAGTTTCACTTGAATTTCCACCACGCTCAGCCCTCGACTGCCTCCTTAAGTTCAACACCCGCGCTCTTTTATTGTTAGCCACTGGGAAAGGGTATCGAAGTTGTTGCTTTATAATGGAAGAGCCAATACGTGATCGCCTCTATAGGTTCTTTTCATGGCTCTCGTAACGACAGGAGCTATTAGATAACACGTGACCTGTTACAGTACTATCCCTTGCTCCGGTGCTTCTATCGAGTTTCCAGGAGTTGTCGTAAAATTATAGTAACGATTAATTTAAAAGGAAAAGAAAGAGTGTTACGCCTTGAACAATTTTACAATCGTTCAATTTTTCCAAAGTAGAAGTAAAAAAAAAAAAAAAAATAAAAAAGAAAGTAGAAAAATTGAATATATTCAAGAAAGATTAAAAATTAAAAATTTCTTAAATAAATTGCCTCTTGAATGAATTATATTATTCGTATATTTATTAATTTTAGTTTTGAAAGAAAAAGACATTTGTGCCATTCAAGATATGAACTTGAATAAATATAATAATAAATTTCATTATTTATTCTGTTAAAAGTAAACTGTAAGTAAAGTGAACTATAAAAGTGAATAAGACATATCTTTTAAAAAATCTGAATGCTAAAAAAAATAAATATAAAATATAAAAGAAAATGTGAAAACGAAGATATAGATGCACGAGTATTGAAACGAAGGAGCTCTTACAAGGACAGACAAGATGGAAAGTAAAAAAATAACGCTGGTATGGTTAATACGTCTTTTTCTACGTGTCTATTTATTATGAAAATATAATACAAAACATCCTATGTTGTATTACATAGATAACAATGCTCAATTAACGTTTTATTCCCTTTTGTCTTGTAACGTTACCATCCAACACTATGAGAAGCATGTCAGGATAGGTAAAGTTCGTGTTCTCTTATTCCGTGTTCTTCTTCATCTTCGTCATTTATTTTTCTCTTTTTTTTTTTCACATTTTTCCCTTCATCGTTTTTTTTTTTTTTATTATTATTATTATTTTACTTCGTTTTGGAGGAAAAGGCCCGATATTACAGAGAGAGAAGATACATATAATAGACGAGAGACGTTACAGAGCGAAAAATTACAAACTGGAACGGAGAAACGAAAGTATTCTGGTGTTCTTTTTAATGATTCTTCTTTTTTTTTTTTCACATTTCATTAGAAAACGGTTGTCCGTTCGAACGAGCGGAACAGGAACAAGGGCGGGAGTTTATTTTCCATTTCCTTCTTTTTTTTCCGTTTTTTTCTTTTTTTTTTTTTTTTTTTTTTTTTTCTTTTCTTTTCTTTTTTTTTTTTTCTTTTTTTTCTTTGATTTCGTTTGACTCGTTCGTCTGGGCTTCGTGGGTCCAGGAATAAGGGTTTCAGGGAAACGGGGCTCTCTTCTTGTTTCGCGTGTCGATGCACAAATTGGAGTTTTGTATTAGCGCTAGTTTACAAATAATACAAATGTATGTAAATATCGTTATTATAATAATAGATTCCCTCTTAGCGAGAAAGAAGCTTAAAGCTAATTCATCTAGCGTCACTATCGTTTTCACACCATGCTAATACTACGTGTTCCAGGTGGTACCCGTGAACAGCCTTATCGTAGTCGATCGAACGTGTTGTCGACCCTGAGAAACGAAAATTGTACGAAATATTCCGACACGAAGTGGAGGTAAGAAAGATTAAAAGAAAAATTGGAAAGTAAACGATCTCTCGTTCGATTGCACGATAATCCATTGCACGATCGAAAATTAAATGAAAAAGAAATGAAATTTCAACGATAATTTTTATATTTTAATCAAACTGCTAAATTATTTCTCGAAATTAACACAAATCGAAGCCCACGAGGAAAGGAAGGTGAACAGGTTCGAATACGTTGCTCTCCATCCAACAATGTATTGTCAATCATCTCGTTCTTGAACAGATAGCGAGCAGAACGGATAGCTGTCACAGGCACCGAGTGAAATACATTAGCGATTCTACTAGAATAATCTCTATATCACTACCGTTTTTTTTTTTTCCTTTTGTTATTTCATTATTAGGCGAAATTTGATCGACCAGGGTTCTCGCCCTTGCGTTGTTCGACACACCACGCGGTAGGAAATTATACGACGATATATCATGGCTTCCTCGTCGCGGAAAGGAAACAAACCGGAGGGGGGAGGGGGGAGGGAGGAGTTGATCAGAGAAGGATTGCGCACGGCAACAGGAACCCCGGACAAGCTGGTCGACCTAGGCAATTAGTGTCATCTACGTAAATGCTAAGTACAATTAGCACTACGGTCAGAATAAATTAATGACCATACATAGTGTATCCACCTGGTGGTGTGTGTTGTTCTGTACGTAATTACGTAATCTTTTGTCTTTTGTGTATATATTTATGTTTATTTACGTGTTCTCTGTAATGGCGTATATATGTACGTATATATATTATATGTGTATGTGTGTGTGTGTGTATGTACGTTTATAAAGTGTTCATCAAGTGTGTCGAGTCTTTAACGTATAATATACCTACGGCATTTTTTTTCCTCCGCGGCTATATTTAATATCGTTTACCTTTAGTTTACCTTTAATTCTTGTTAATTACCTTTTTTTTTTTTTTTAACTCTATATTGCTCTTTGTATTGCTTCGGCGGCAGTATAGCCCTACGTAGTCATGCAAGGTATAATTATTATTATTATTATTTTTTTTTTTCCGTTAATAGATAATATAATGTAACTGGTAATCTCTTCGTCGTCGTCGTTCAATCGTTGACATTTACGATAAATGGTAATAAATAATACATCGTCGGTAACGGGAATAATAATGGAGTGAAAATAATCAAGTTGTAAAGAACGATAGTGATGACAGCAGCTTAGCTATGGTAAAATTAAAATCGCCGTGTGTACACGTTACGTACGCGTTAAGTAACAGTGGGTTTTTTTTCGTATTTTTTCTTCTTCGTAGATTCGCGTTCGAATAACGCGTTAAATCATCGAAGCGATAAATCATATGGTGTATACATAATACGCCAGCCCTACCAGTAATTCGATATAATTTCATCGGTAATACCGTGTCAACGTATCTATATAAATATATATATATATATAGTTAACTTCGCGTTCTGCGTGTGTACGGTTTTTAATTTCTTACGTAAAAGCTATAAAATATGGATACCTGCGCAATTATTTTTTTTTTNATATTGCATGAATTTTACAATGTTTATCATTGCAATACAATTCTTAGCGATATACAATTTTCTTTTTTTCTTTTTTTTTTTTTTTTATTACGTTCGCTCTCTCTTTCTCCCTCTCTCTCTCTCTCTCACACATACGCTCACTCACTCACACACGCGCTCACTTTTTCTTCGATCTTTACGACAAAACTTTAGTATTATTTTTGCGCTCTCTACTCACTCGTCGTACCGTTGCTATTTTCTTCGAACTAAAGTTCGAATACTATAATATATATATAATATTTTTTTTATGTATATAATATATATATATATATATATAATAGATTTATGTATATCAATGTAACCAGTGATGCGCGTTTGCCGCGCTGCGTCTTATTACTTCATCTTATAAAAGCCATCGCTAGTCTCCTCGCCTTTTCTTTCTTTC